TGTACCGGGAAGGTGATGTGCCTGTCCTGGTTCCATGCCCTGAGGAGAAGGCATGGAAGCTTTGATCTTATCCTATGTGTCTTTTCTTTTGGTTGGTCTTGATTTGCATTCTCTAGAATAAAACTAACCGAAGTTATCCTGAGTTCTGTGAATTGCTGTAGCGAATTATCAAGCCTAGGGGGATTGTATGAAAACCCTCAAACTTGGAGCCAGTAGGTCAGAAGTGTAGGTAGCCCGGGGACCTCTGAACTAGGCATCTGATGTGAGGGCAGTCTGGTTAGAGACCATTCTGGTGACTGGTAACTCTATACTGTCTTGATGGTTAATGTCAGAATTGATGTACACTATTCAGCTATGAAAACACAGTTGACAGAATGTTGTGATACAACTTCATTGGAAGGATGGGGAACAAGAAAGGAGTAGAAATTCTCATCAAGTGTGAGCCAATAAGTAAGGCACAGCTCATCAATCAGGAGGTAACAGTGTAAATGTAAGATTCAGAACATAATAGATATAAGCAGAAGAAAAGACAAAAATAATTGCTTCTGGAGATGGACTGTGAGGGCATAGAAAGCTGTTGTAAAACAGTGCTGTTGTTTAGTTTAAACCTTTTCCAACTCCGTTATTTTTCTAGCTATGCATGTATTACTTTCATACATATACATATATATATATATATATATATAACATTGATTTTTAAAAGAAGAAACTTGATTGTAGGTTTGCAGTAGTTCATTCAGGAAAAAATTTGGACACTTGGATGTGTGCAGATAGGGTATACTGGCAATGTTCTTGGGGCAGTACTTGTAAGGAAGTGAAGGAAACAGCTGAGCAGAGGGAGAAGTGAAACCGTGCAGTGGGTGTGGCAGTGGTCATAGCTGATGCCATTGGAAGCTTTGAACCTGGGATGGCCCTTCAGAAATGCCCAAGTGAGGCTAGGGAGCCCACCCCAGGTCCCTGAGTGTAGGCCGGTCATTAGATATGTGCTCCCAAGGGTGGTAAAGCAGCTCCTTGTGGCTGAGGGCAGTTATGAAAGATACTCAGTCATGAGGTGAGCAAGGAGCACTCTTGGCAAGAGAGGACCGAGCACTTCGGTGCTACAAGGGAGGATCTGGCTGGTTGTGTCAGGTTTCCATTACTGTAACAACCCAAGATAATAACTTTATAAGGAGGAAAGTTAATTTTGCCTCATGGTTTTGGAGGTTCCACTCCATGTTTGGGTAGATTCATTGCTTCTAGGCTTCTGGTGGGAGGGCAGCACATCATGGAGGGGCACCTGGCATAGCCAACCTGCTCATATCATGCTCAGATATGAGGAAGAGGGAGTGGCTGGTGTCCTACCACTGTATCCCCTGCAGGGCCACACCCCCAGTGACCAAAAGACCTCCCGCTAGACCCACCTCCCAATTATGCCAAGCTTGAGACTAAGCCCTTAACACGCAGGCCCTTGGAGGGCATACCAGATCCAAACGGTAGCACCAGTGCACTAATACTGCCCACTACTAATTCTAAAAAACTGGAGAATCCAGAAAAGGAAGACTTTATATCCATTAGGCAAATTTTAGGTCCTCTAGTCCTGGCAGATTCAGGGCTGTCAAGGACTGGTTTTAGTTTTAAAGTATGCTATGCCATCTTAGGTCAGCCTGGGATTGACGGTTTTATAAACAGAAAAACACATAGCAGAATTTCTGTATTCTTTTAAAATTATTCCAGCCAGAAATCATAGATGCAGAATATTGAATGACTGTACTATAGTTTAATTCTTGAGCATATTCTTGTTAAGGGATTTTAAGCCCCTAAAGTGAGAAATGTAATAATATTGCCATCAGTTCATTGCTGTAAATATATTTGTGGTTTGCTCCAATTGTAGGCTTGGACAGAATAATCTGGTTACATGAGACTTTGTAAATAGATGGGTGAGTGGCTGAGAGGTGTTTAACACAGGACAGTATAAGATACTCTACTTAGAAAGTAAAGACCTTTGGGAAGCCAGGTTCTCAGGAAAGTAGTCTTAAATCTTGTGTGTTTTTGCAGTTTAAAAGACTAAACTAACTGCTGAGTGTCATGCATTCAGCAGATGTCCACTGAGCACTGCCTTGTGCACATCACCTAGCAAGGAGCCTAGCATCTGATGGAAGAGTAAAGCCATGTAGATGTAAGGAAATACAATTCAAGATGGAGAGGTAATGTGCCATAAGCCATAAGGCTGTGTAAAGTGCTTGTGGGAGATTAGAGAAGAGAGAGGTCACTTTTGCTTGGAGTGATCTGGAACAGAGCAGGTGGTAGAGCTTGAACAAGGCTTTGGAAGTCTAAGGACAGGAGTTAGGTTGTGCGATCTTGGAGAAAACAGAAAAGTTTATTGAGAGAATGCAAAGGAGAAAATTGAAAACTATGTTTTTCTTTCACTTCTGAAGCATTAGTAAGTCAGTAAGAGGGCACAGGATAAAATTTGGATCCCTGCACCTCCAGAAACACTCCAGAAACATAGTGTTCCAGGCGATGAAACATTATAGAAAAGGGACTATTGCCTCGATCATGAGGGTGGAGGAGTCTTCATATGATGCTAACTTTTATATAGCTGGGTTCTACAAAAGATGTTTAAATCTTTAATGATGTTTCTTACGTGCACAACTTCAATGACAAAAACACATAGGTTACTTTTGGAAAATGCTAGGGAACTGTTTTTTGTTTTTTAACTGATAAAGGTAAAAAACCTCAAATCTTTATTTTGTAATCCTGTACAAACTATATATCTTGGTGACCAATTAATAAGAATGAATTCTCTTTGGAAACATTCCAGCTAGTAGATAAAGATGAATGATTGAATTCCAGTTCGAATTCCTAGTGAATAACGGATCTCAATAGTAATCATGAATGGCTGCTAATATAACAAAGGCAAAGATAAGTAGCCCTCGTGTCAATATGCAGTATCACTTACCCAAAAAATCAAACCTGAAATTAAGTATCAATACTTAATTACTTGATGACAGAGGAATATGTTGTATTTTATCAGCAGAATGCAGTCAGCAAAAAGCCAGCACAAAACTATGACCCAGTATGTTCAACAAATAAATTGAGTGAGAAAGGGAGGGAGGGAAGGGAAGGGGAAAAGAGAAACAGAGGAAGAAGAGAGGAGGAGAATAAGGGGAGGGTTAGATAGAACTTACAGATTTCATGATTCAGTAGACATGTTAATTCCCTTGAAATAGGGAATTTATTGACTCCTGATAGAAATAAATTATTAAAAGTTCTTTGAAACATTTGGGGAAATTTATACTGATTAGATATTGATTACTATTTATAATCTTAGAAATATGTATGATATATATATGGCATTATATTTATTTTTGATAGCAAATGCATACTGAACTATTTATAGATGAAGTGATATGATGTTTGAGATTCAAAATAATCTGAGGTGGGAGGAAGCAGGCGGGGTATAGATGAAGCAAGATTAATCTCAAGTTGATCTTTGATGAAGCTGAACCATGGGTACATGGGGGTTTGTTCCCTGGATATTTTTGACTTTCCCTCCCTCCCAGACTCCCTTCCTGGCATCTTTCTATATAGTCCTCCAGGCTGGCCTTGAACTTGCCATCCCCCTGCCTCAGCCTCCCTGGTGTTAGTGTAACAGGTGTGCATCACCACACCTGGCTTCGACTTTAATTCTAAATAGGACTTTTAAATTCTGGACCGATGATGGCTGAGCTGGGACATGATGAAAGTCTGTGAGATACTGAAAGCTGTGGCTAGGAAGAATAGGGATGTGTTTGGCATATTTCTGAATAAATTAGGGGCCAGTGCAATTTGAAAGAATTGGTTTTAGGACAAATACAAGAAATCATACAGGTTACACTGTAACTTGTTTTCCATAATCTATAAATGAGAAAAGTTTGGGGCATCCCTAGTCTTGTGAAGCAGGCATCTGTGCTCTGAACTTCTAACACAATTGACTCCAGTATTCCAGGTAAGATGGAATACTGCTACCATGGTACCTGACCCATGATAATTTCTAAATGTTTCTGCTACATGAAGTGTTTGAGGTTATAAGAAATATGCTTTCCCATAGAAAAACTAAATCATGTTCAGTTTTTTTACAACTCTTAATTTTATAATATTAGTTTACTAAGATGTAATATATATACTGTGTGTTTTTAAGTATACAATAAATTTACACACACAGAGGTACCTGCACACACAGAGGTAAACATAGAAGATAAATAATATTTTTGTACCCCTGAAGTTTCCCTTGTACCCCTTCTTTGTCATCTACCTCCACCCCAGAGAAGACCAATCTGACTTCTCTCACCATAAATAGGTTCACCCTTTCTTGAACTTCATAAATGAAATTGTTATACAATTTTGTGTCACACTTTTTCACTCAGCATGGTGTCTCAGATTCATTCATGCTTTGTACATACCAGTAGTTCTTTTCTTGTTGCTGCTAAGTATTCATTGTGTGACTCTTCTCAGTTTCCTTACTCATTCTCCTGTAATTAATATTTAGACATGTTTACTGACTATGCATAAGTAGAGCTCCAATGAACATTCTTTTGGTGGCCACTGTTCATTTCTGTCTCTTCAGAATAGCTGGGTCTTAGGGTAAGTGTATCTTTAGTTCTGGACATATTGTCAAATAGTTTTCCCAAAATAATTGTATTGATTTACAGTACCACCAAGAGTGTATGAGAGCTCCAGTTGCTTTTCGTCCTTGATATTGCAGCCTTTTTAATGTTAGCTGTTGCGATGGGTTTTCAGTCCTACATGTGAACAACTGGCATTGCCTTTTTATGTATTTTTTGGTGCCAAAGGTAGAACCCAGGCCTCTTGTGTGTTAAGCATATATGCTACCACTGAGTTGCACCCAAGCTCCGGGTATTGCTCTTTTACATTCAAGTACAGTATTATTAAAGTTCTTTTATTTAATTGGTGGATTTTAACTATGAGCAATTCCTTGTTGTAGTTTCTAAACTAAACTATTACTATTTTTCCTTTTTTAGTTGTCACAGGTAGTACTGATGGAATTGGAAAATCATACGCAGAAGAGGTAGGTGATTTTTAAAGATCTTTCTTTTTGTTATACTTTAAAAAATGGAATAATCTCTTATAGTAGTTTTGATTTTTGAAGTTAAAATCAGAAATATAATATTGCATAGTACAGTGATTTTTAAAAAATTTCTATCTTGTGAGAAATACCAAGTTTGTGTACGTGACCAAGAAATTTTAAAGCAAATGTCTGGAAAATAAGTATGAAGCTTTCTATGCTGGTTAGTTGAAATTGTGAGAAATTTAGTGTAACTTGGGGCCAGGAATTTAGCTCATTGGCACTGTGCCTGCCTTGCAAGCGCAAGGTCCTGAGTTCAATCCCCAGTACCACAAAAAAAAAAAAAAAAATTTTAGTATAACTTTGTTTTACATCATTTAATTGTGGACAGTCTTCAGTTTTTAAAAATCCAAAAGATAGAAAGTGTTATAGGCAGTCCCATATCCAGAGTAGTTCATAGCATTTTTACAATGACTGAGGTTAATAGAAAGGTGTTTGGAGACTGAGGCAAAGGATTGAAGTCCTCTGAACTTCAGTTAAAGGCTAAGAAAGTCTGATAGTTTGAAGACCATTGTACAGAGCAGGAACCCTGGCAGTACTCTCTGGGTTCGTTTCCGTGCTGTCTGTCTCTGCAGAGGTGTTACCCCGTTTTCATGAATATTCTGGCAGCTGCATTGAATTTCTCATTTGTTGTGTACTTATCAAAGGTGTTTTTTTCTTTCAATCAGCTTTTTTGTGTTTTCACCTTTTTATTGTGAAGAACTTCAAAACTGCAGGAAAGTTGTAAGAAGAATACAATGGACACCAAACACCCTTCACCTGGATTTACCCACTAACGTCTTATCACTTTTAAGTTATTTTATTGCTATTATTATTATTGTTTTTGTTATTTGGCTGGATCATTTGTAAATTAGTTAGACATCATGATAATTTGCCCCTTAGTATTTCAGGGTGCATCTTCTAAGATCTAAAACATTCACCTTCATAAGTGCTCACATAAAAAGTTTCACTTGGCGTGGTGCTAAGATATAACCTACATCCCACAGGCAAGTTTTCCAGTTACCGCCTTCATAGCTCTTTTTCTTGGTTCCAAGATCCACTTAAAGACTGTGCATTGTGTTGCTATTATATCTCCTAGTCTTCATTAATCTTGAAGGATTCCATACCAGTTTTTTTTTTTCTTTTGTAACAATCACATTTGACAAACCCTAGCTGATTGTTTTATATACAGATTTAAATTTGATGGTTTCCTCATGATTAGTTTCAGGATAAATATTTTTTTTAGCAAGAATGCTATGCAAGTGATATGTATCCTTCTGAGTTAATTTTATCAGGAGGTACACAAAGTCCATTTGTTCCATTATTGATTATGTTAAGGTAAACAATTCATTAAGATGCTGTGTACTGTAATTCTCCATTATAAAGGTAATTAATAAAAAATATGTGGGATGGTGCTTTGAGACTATACATATCCTATTTCCCAGGAATCTTCTGTCTATTTCTTTTTAAGATCCCTTGACAATTTTTTGTCTAGTTATTACCACAGTTGTTTAAAATGGTGATTTTTCTAGATATCTCCTACATTCATTAGGTTGTGTTTTTCTGTTAGGGTATTTCCTTATTCTTTCTAGCCTGTTAAATTTTTTTTAACTATCAATATGGGGTAATGGATTCTTCAGTGGTTTTATAGCAGATTAATTTAGCCAATTACCAGCCTTTGTTATTTTTATTAAAAATTTTCTCCCATAGCTTCATTTGCAGTACTTCTCATTACTTAATAAGAACTGACTTTAGGATTTAGGATTGGAATATTAGTTTAGTAAATCACTTATGGTTTGCGGCACCAAATTTATTGCTCATGTATAAATTGTCTGAAACAGTTGGCTAAGTTTTGTGCAAATGTTTCTCTAGTCCTGGATTTGTATATCTCTGGGGTAGCAGTACATTCCTGTAAAGTTTTTCATTCTGTACAACACTTACACATCATTGAGTGGAGGCACAGATGGTGGTTCTTAGGGAATTTTTCTATTCATTTAGACAGTTCACCATCTTAGTTTGCCTTGGTTGTCCATAAAGTATAATGCCCAAATAAAACCTTAAAAATAGATTGTATTTTGAGGAATTGATGACATTTTAACTGCTTTTCTTGCCAATCCTCTGATCTTTGTTTTATGTATCCAGTCTACATCAAAAACTTTTTTTGAAGCTAGGTTTTAAAATTGCAGAAGTAGTAGACATTTAATAAAATTTAAAACCCTAACAATATACACAGATCCAAAATGAAAAGTAAAAGTCACCCTCCTTCTAAATCCCTTGGAGATTTAAGTTCTTGATTTAGAGAGATAATCCTTTGGGGAATTCTTTCTGTCAGGTATTTCATTTGGATTGCCTGCTCATGACACTTGGGTTTTTATTTGTATTTGAAATATCATCTGGTCAGGTTTTCTTAAAATGAGGATATATCTAATTTATGTGTTAAAACAAAATGCACAAGTGTGACTCAGGTCTCTTATTCTTTCAGTTGGCAAAGCGTGGGATGAAGGTTGTTCTGGTCAGCAGATCACAGGATAAACTGAATCAGGTCTCCAGTGAGATAAGTAAGTTCTCACCTCAAACACCCATGATTACAAAAGGAATGTATCTAATCTGAGTTCAATGTTTTCAAACAGATAGCATTTAGAAAACTTTTTTATACTGTTAATGGCATGTTTTAAAGATGGACCATCTTTTAAATAATTTTATTAATCTTTCAAAATAATTTTCAAAAATTATTTTGGTTCTATTATAATTTTCTTAAAATGCCTCTTACTGATTCAATTAGTCCTCTGTTAGGAGTTGAATTGTCTTTACTTCATCATGTTGTACTGAAGTGTCTGCTCCCTTTTCTGTTGCTTCATTTCAAATTTCTTTAATACTTTTTAATCTTTTGCTTTCAGTGTTTTCTAAATGTACTAAAACATGTAGGATTGAGAAAAGATTTTTTCAAAAAGGTAGCAGGTACACATGCAATAAGGAAACTCTTACAATTTGTTCTTGGCTGTGCTTGAGACCTGAATTATAATACAGCAGATACTCTGTTAATGGATGTGTACTTAAGCAGATGACTCGATCAGTGCTGTTCACTGACTGGTGTCTCCAGTGTGCTGACTGTGGGTCCCCAGCTTCCGGACAGGATGCTCCTGTACTCCTACTTATACACGTTGTTTCCTTATTAAGAGTCAATGTGTTTGTTCTGAAACTTATGCTGAATACATTTGTTATTGCATATTCCGTAAATGATGAAAAATTAGTACGAAAAGGGGATTTATTTCTGTTAAACATATGTTGAATGCTATCAGACAAACAAAGTACAAGAAAAGTGATTTCTTTCAGAAGTTCACTGTCAAATTAGGGGGGACCAAAACAAATGTAAAATATTGGAAAGCTGATAAAGAGTTAAGAAATGGGCTTTCAGATTGTTTTGTAAGTATTGAGGTTTTTGCTACACTTTAAAAGAACTGAAACTGCATTCATAAATGGTACATGGGTTTAGTACATGCAAGAAAGACTATGAAGTTCCAGTCTGCAGATCCAGCAAGGTCTTGGCTCTGCTCAGAGGTTGGTGAATGAATTGTATTTACATATGGTTTAAATTAAAATAAAGTGATTGCAATGTGATTTTATCTCTACGATTCCTTGCTTTGACTTCTCTGAGAACCCCACACATTGTCCTGATTCTTTGAGATGAGAGAGGGTTTCTTCTGTATTTCATTGACGTTTTCACTTATCACTAACATATATGTAGTACTTTGTTATCCATTCATTCCTTCACATGTATCATTTCCTTTGGTCTGTCTAGCATCCTTTTGAGGGATGTATTTTTGTTATTATTTCTGTCCAGACCTCAGCTGGTCCTAGTGGACAGATTACACGTAGGTGGGCTTCAACTTTAGTGTGTATGTGCTGGAGGTTGGACAATGGGCCTCCTACATGCCAAGAACGTGTTCTACCCTTGTGCTACATTCTCCTACCTCGCAAAGCAGATTTTTATTGGAGATTCCCAACATTAAGTATGTAAAAATTTTTTTCAAAAAATATTTGAAACCTTAAGAGTACAGATCTTTACAAAACTGAACATATGGTATGTAGGTAGTCAATAGATCTTTTGACATTTAAGAATTTTAACACTCAAGATTTAGCTCTGTAAATGCAACCCTGAAGGTCCAAGGCATACAGTATTTTCCAATTTGATGAGGTGTGAATTTGAATTAAGTAATGACACTAATGAGGTAGTTACTGAGATAGGTGAACTTAATATACTGCTTGGATCTTAGTACTGTTTTGTCTTTGGCTATTTGTAGCTATGTATATAACTCTTAAAGTGATAGAAATGTGTTTATGAGAAATTAGAGACATTTATAGCTAAATGGATGCACATTGAGGTGATACTCTTAAGTGAAATAAATAGGACACACGTGTAAATACTGAATAGTTTCTCTAGTGTGAGAAACTGAAAGTGTAAATAAGGACTAAAAGGTATAATAGATAATGTGAAATAGGAAGAAAAGGGGCAGAGGGGAAAGGGAAGTGGGAGGGCTGGGGAAAGGAAAGAAGGGAATGGAATTAATATGAGAAAATGAAAAAATGGAAACAAAGTCTTCATAAATAGGGAGGGATGGAGGGGTTGAAGGGAGGGCAGGGGAAGGGGGAAAAATAAGAACCAAGAGAGATTATGTAAAGGTGCAAATTTCCAATGATGAATGTCGTTATATTGTATACCTAAAATGTACCAATAAAATAAAATTTAAAGAAAAGAAATGTGTTTATGTGCTCTCTCTCTCTCTCTCTCTGCCTGTCTTTTGCTGAGGATTGAATCCAGATCCTTCACACTGAGCTACATCCCAGCTCTTTTTATTTCTTATTTTGTGACAAGGTCCTGTTAAGTTGCTAAGTTGCCCAGGCTGGCCTCAAACTTGTGTTCCTTCTGCCTCCGCCTTCCAGAGTGCTGGGATTATAGGTGTGTACCACCGTGCCTGGCTAGCAATTTGCAGTTAATGAAAGCAACTGCTAGTTGCTAGAAGTAAAAGAAATGCTAGCAGAAAATGAAAACTTTGGATTAAATGAAATGTTGAATTTTGAACTGCTATGATATTAATGAACCCACCATCTATGTGATGTAAGGAAAGTTACCTTGTGACACTCTCAGCAAGTGTTCCAACTTGTACCCACTTTGCTCAATGAGTCAGAAGATATACTTTAATGATATTTGAGAATTTTGGTTAACCTGTGATATGAGGTGACTGTAAGGTCAGACCGAGGCATGATTGAGACCACCGAGGAGGCAGAGTCTAAGCAACATGTGATGAGTTTATTGCCATCTGGGTGCAGATGGGCCGAGGGCGAGAAGGCCATTGGCACTGGGGGGAGGGTGCCCATGGTTAATATAGGGCAGTTTAGGTAGGGGAGGAGGGCACTGCTAAAGAAGGTGGGAAATTTTAGAGTCGCGTGGGTGGTGAACCTGGAGCTGGCTGATAAACAGGGTGGTGATGAGAGCAGCAGAGCGGCTGCTGGCTTCTTGTTATCTCTGTGCTCCTGTGGATGCGGGTAGTGGGTCTGCTTGGGAGGGGGTTCGACTTGGGGGACCTGTCAGTGACATGTGACTGTTGGCCGAAATGTGCTCCTGGAGAAAGACGAGAACCTGTTCAGACATTTCATGGAGGAACAGATGGTGAAGACACTGAACTGACCTTTACTAAAAAGAATTTTTTTTCCTATGTTGGGAATTCTAAAAAAACCTTTTTCTGGGCATAATATAAATGTAATAGGAAAGGTGGTAGAAACAGACCGTATCATCAGCTGAAGAAATACACAGTAGACTTATAAGTTAAAACAGGTTTTTAACTGAGATGTAAATAATCTCTTGAGGAGGATAATTTTTTACGAATATATCTACTCCAGGAGACCGGAGGGACCAAGATTTAATGTTGACAGACACAGACTAACTCTGCATTTCTTTGGTTATGCCGGTAACACATCTTTATTGAATGTGTGCATACCAGGCACTATGCTAGGCAGTTGAGATGCAGTGAAGAACAAGTTGGATTCCATCCTTGTTCTAGTGAAGACAATAGAAACAAATGGGTCAAAAATGAAAACCAAACCAAAACTAAAAAGACACCAAAGAGATAGAGAGGAAGGGAGGGAGAGAAAGAGACATAAAAAGAATTAAGATGTGTTATGTACATGTACCAACTCTCTGTGATGAATATAACCATTATGTACTGCAAATGTGTGTAAAAATACACAAATTTTTATAAGAACAAAGTAATTCTAGTCTGTACTAAGTGCCACACACACACACACACAACATGAAATGTGAAAGAAACAGTAAGAGATTCTTATTTTGTGGCAGCATGGTAAATTTTGGGGCTGCAGGGAGACACAAGGGCCAGAATAATGACTGGTTGACCTGTGATGGAGCCCCCTCCGGTAATGACAGTGGAGCCGAAGGGAGTACCCTCTAGGCCCTCTTGGTGAGGTAACAGTGGGGAAATGGTATACGTGTAGGTTATACATGGTAGATCCACTCCAGCATTCCGCGTTCCTTAAGACTTTGGATCCCTGCCTCTATCTTCTGTGAGAGAAGTTATGGTCTCCCAGTCTCGGTAAATGTAGGTTCATATGGAGCCTAAGTTTCAGTCAGCCAGCCAGTTTAACTACTGGAGCCCCTTCCAGCTATATGACCTAGCCATTAAATCTGAATTCTCTGGTAAATGAATCATGTTCAAAAATTTGGCCTATTCTGGTATTGTACTCTGTTGGCTTAATACTCACAGAATCTATTTTCACACATATTTCTCTCTACCAATACAGAGTAACAAGTTTTGCAATTTTTGTGAGTGTAAGTGATTAGTTTATGGATCAGACCCAGAAAATGCTGTGATCCAGCCTCAGTGGGTGGCAGTAAAAGATGAATGAGCTGGAACTTGAGGAGAAGAGGGATTATCTTGCAAGAAAGCCACCCCTCCTGTTACGGTGATGTGATGGCAGGGTCTTCAGATAGGGAAGACTAATCTCCTTGGAGTCCCATGGAGCAGGCCATTTGTATTTGCACTGTCAAGGGAGGCTCAGCTCGCTTGGGGTTTAGGATTGGGGCTCCCTAGATATCCCCATTCCAAGTCTCAAGGTCTCATGGGTTCCCATTCAGTAGTTTAATTTTGCAACTGGCACATTTACATCTGTTGTTAGCAGGATGGGTTCTGTGACTATAAGACAGAAAAGTTTTTAGGACTCTAGGTGTTCTCTGGTTCTCTCCTGGTACATGTGAGTTGAAGTGTATTGATCTGACCTTACAGTTCTTTGTAAAGATACCTGTCACCACTGGAATTAAGACAAACTGAAAGTCATCACACATATAATAAACTTGTTATCATTGCCAGCCAGGATTATTTATATATTAAGCATTTTTGCCAATTTTGATTTGTGGAAAAAAAACAACCTAGGTGATTTTTGAAAGCTGGACTGACTTCACAGTAAACCACAACACAAAAACTAGTTTACAAAACAACCTATTGGCTCACAGAAGGTAGAGGTGGTGATATTTGCAATTTGTGTTATT